TAAAACTGTATTTCCCAAATTTGTGTTTGTATGTACAGATTTTTCCCCTCTAGGTGGCAGCCTCTCACAGTTAATTGAAAGTAATTTGGTTCTGAGGCTCTTGAATATTATTAAATGTGGAGTAGAAGTAAGATATAAAATTTGGTGGATATTTTAACATTTCTGGAGTTAGACTTAAGATTATTTCAGAAATTTAACACCTCTTGGGTCAAAATATACTAACATTAAAGAATGATAAGTTTGCACAGAATATTAGTAATTTTCAGAAACTGGATGTGTGCTGCTTTATAGGTTATGCTGGAATATTGGCAATAATTATAATATTGAGTCCTTTCAGAAATTAGCAGGTTTTGTATATCTTTGCATGTTGACTTTTTTTTTTAAAGCTGATTTTTTACCCATACTTATACTCTTTAAACAGCCTTTTGCTGTTTATTTTATTTTTTTTAAGTTTTTATTGTGAATTGACTGATAGTTTACATGGGAGAACATCGGTTTTACACCATCGTTTCATTGCAATGATTACAGTCTCCTCCGTGCATCATCATTCAGCAGTATTTGCTTCTATTCCCTCTGTTCTTTTTGAGTGTGTGTGGGATGGGGGTGATGTATACAAAAACACTCAGGATATATAATAATTTAATTTAGCAACTAAGGGCATATTCTGCAAGCTTGCCCCCTGGCCGCCAGCACTCAAGTCTTTCTCTTTCCATGAGTCTAGAGTCCTCTTACTGTGTACTTTTACTCTATTGACCTTGTTTAAAGTTGATTGCTTGAGGTTTTTAGGTTTCTTGGGTATCTAAGAAAAGCCCTGGTGGCACAGCTCAGAAACCCTATACAGGGTTGATATAAGTTGGAACTGATTCAATGGCCTTGAGTTTTGATTTTTTTTTATATTTAGTATCTGCAGTGCTAACAGAGATGTTAATGTGAGATCTAGAGAAAAAGTAAATGACTTGAATTACCCCCCATATATAAACCTAAGCTATATCCCCAAGCTAGAGTATAAATAAGACTTTTAGTCATTCAGTATGTATTCGTTAAACAGTCATATTCTGTAAAATTGAATAAGCTTTTAAGTCTTTACAGTATTTAGTAACAAAGTTTACAATTTAGTAATCCCTATTTTTGTCACTGGATATAGATGTCTAGTGATCACTGAGGCATGAGTTTACAACGTGTCTATCTTTTCTTTAGATGTATTTAGGATTCATTTTAACTTGTATCTAAATAATTAAGTAGTGCTGGATTAAAACCAGACTTCTTAGAGGGGACTTAGTTTTAATTATCACATAATTTCCTAATCTTAATTCTAGGAATAATGAATTAAAGGGAAAATTATTAGCAAATGTATTCTACTGTGTTTTCTTTATGCCTTTAGGTGATAGTGATGGGAGCCACTAACCGTCCTCAGGATCTTGACTCAGCAATAATGAGAAGAATGCCTACAAGATTTCATATCAACCAACCTGTACGTGGTCTTGATTGAGATTATGAATACTTATATATTCACCTTTTTACTTGTGATGCCAAGAAGGGGTTGGGTGGGGTTTTTTGGTTTTTTTTTTTCAGGATTCACCTTATTTGTTGTTGTTGTTGTTGTTTTTTTCACTCTTGTTTCTTTTTACTTTCTTTCCTAAGATCCATGTTATTTGCTTCTCTGTGATTAATTATTGGCAGTTAAAGTAAACTGCTTCCCTCTGACAGGGTTAGTGATTAACTAGTAGGCATGACAGCGTTTAAAAAAAAACTGACTGGTCTGTCAGTTTGCTATACTTTGGTGGTTTGCATGTTGTTAGGATGATGAGAGTTATGCCACCACTGTTTCAAATACAGTAGGGTCATTTCAAATCCCAGCATGGTAGATAGATTTCAGTGGCCCATCCAGGCTAAGACACACTCGGAAAAAAGGCCTGGCAGTCTGCTTCCTAACATTAGCCAATGAAAACTTGATGGATCACAGCACAACACGGATTCACTTACTTTGGGCGTGTCCTCAGAAGGAAGACATCCTAATTTGGTGACGTAGAAGGTGGGTATGGATATCCTCAGTGAGGTGGATTGGCACAGTAGCTATGGATATACTTAAACATGCTTGCACAGGACTTGGTAGGGTTTCCTTCTGTTGCACACAATAAGGTCACCACCCTGAATTTGGAGTTAGCTCTTTGGCAATCAACAATAACAAGATATATTACACTTTAACGTAAGAATGTGAATGTGTTGATAAGTTGTTGACACAGTACCACCTTCTTCCTAGTATTGTTTTTTTAATTGAGTACTATCAAGTAGATGATATGTTGTTGCTGGTTAGTGCCATCGAGTTGGTTGTGACCCATAGTAACCAAGTATAGGGTTTCCAAGGAGTGGCTGGTGTGATTGAACCCCTGACCTTGCAGTTCAAACTGATTTTGCAGTCTACCGCATTAACCCACAGCGCCATACTAGGACTCCAATTCATCTCCAATTAGAGATGATTACAGATTGTATAAATACCTTAGAATTTGTTCACAGAATCCTTAAATCCTTAATTTTGTTCACTTTCAGATTGAAGAGAAAAGGAAAAAAACCAAACAGTCCTTAGTAGTAGAAGTAATGCTCCACAGAGTCGGTGTTTACATGTATAGCCGTGCACAGGAGCTTTTACTTTGTCAATCTCTTGCAGATCGTGAATTAAAAAAATTTTCCATTTACTATCTGGATAGAAATCATTTGTCTTGCGTGTAGTCAGTACTTTAACGTGTTCGTGGCAGTGACCATGATTTCTTCTGTAAACGAATGCCTGTGTGGTTCATTTGGAGCTTCGCATTTTCTTAACCACTCAGTTAGAAAATTCACCTGATAAGTCAGTGAAGATCTTTTTTAGGTTAATGTCGTGATGGTTGTGTGCCGTGGAGTTGATTTTGACTCATAGCAATCCTGTGCAGGGTTTTTGAGGCTGTATATCTTTAACAGGAGCAGAAAGGCTCCTCTTTGTACCACGGAGGAGTAGCTAGTAGATTTGCGCTGCTGATTTTATGGTTAGCAGACCAGCCTGTAATCCACTATGCTAGTAGGGCTCCTTTTAGGAGCCTGTAATGTAGGAGGCTGTAAGAGTAGTCACTGTGACTGATAATGTGTATTTGTGGGGAGTCCTCGTGTGGCACTGTGGGTTAATGCGCTAGACTATAAGATAAAGTCACAGTTTGAACTGCCAGGTCAGTGGCTGAAGCTCACCAGCCACTCTTCAAACCCTATACAGGGTCATTATGAGTCAGAACAGACCCAACAGCACTCAACAACAGCAACAATATTTATGGAGTTCTGGTCTGACTGTAGAATAACTGTGAGGTTGGTGGTTCAAACCCTATACTCCTTGGAAACCCAATACAGGGTCACTATGAGTTGGAACTGACTGGATGGCACTTAACAAAATAATGTGTCAGATACCTTGCTAGGTTCTGGTAAATGGTACGTGGTCCCTGTCTTCAAAGAAGTGTTTAGGAGAGAAGGCAGACATATAAATAAAATAAACCATGCTTTTAAAAAAAGAATGTTTAAAGAATTACGAGAGCCTGAGGTGATGATGAAACTTAATTCTGAGGAATCAGTGAAATTCACAGAATCCAGCTGGGCCTTACCGTGGAAGGAAGAGGGCTTTCCTGCCAGAATGAACAGAGACAAGAAGGTATAGATGCTCATATTTAAAGGTGAATTCCAGTAGCTCAGTCAGTGTACTGGGAAAATAGATGGTGAGGGGCTGGACAGGCAGACTGCAGCCAGGATTAGATGAACTGTATGGATTTGAATTTTATTTTGTAAGCAAGAAAAAGCCATCAGAACATTTTAAAAGAAATTCCGTTACCTCATTGATGGCTTAAGACAAAGATTACTGATAGATTCTCTGCTAGTGGTCCAATAGAAACCATATTTTTTTGATGTATGATGAAATAGAACATGTGAGGATAAAACTATGGAAAGTAGTTGTTTTTAAGTGCTTTCAAGTTGGTTTTGACTCATAGCAACCCTGTTAGGAAAGTAGCTTTTATTAAATTAATAAGTTAATTGTATGAGTTATCAAAATAGGTTGTAACATGTTTTTTCAGGCTAGTTATACATTTGTTTACTGTTACAATGGAAACTGGAAATTTGTAGTCCCCTTCTATTTTTAGTGAAAACATACCCTTCCCTCATTATGGGATTAATTTTTATTGTTGCATAACTTGTCAAATGTATGACTATAACCTTACCTTAATACTTCTTTCCAAATTAAATATAAATCCACAAAGGATAGTTATTGGTGATCATGCAACAAATTTAACACTTATTTAACACACTTGAATTACAGAACTGGGTTTGTTTTATTTGTGCTGTTCAGATCATTTTATTTGATGTTCATTATAATTGGCTTTGCTTTATCAGTGTGTATAGGGATAGGGATGAGTCAAGCCATGATAAATTTTAAAAAGCACTTAGGTATAACTGTATGTGTAAGATAGTCTATCAAAGGAGTTGGCATAGTTTCTATACTCTGGTATGTTAATCACTGTGGAAAAAGCTTACATATATATGAACAAATAAATATACTATAAACACCAAGTAAAAGTTTACTAATAGAAGTTAGTGAACATGCATGATATTTATTGAATTGGATGGAGCTGAGAGGGGTATTACTGCTATTTCTTTTAATTTTGGGTAAAAAATTTATGATGGTGATGAATTTTCAGAAATTTCCTAAATGAAGTAAAGGAGCTTTGCAAAGTTGTAGAGGAAGGACATTAAGAGATCCTCATTTACTCAGTAAAAATTTAAGGGCATCTTAATTCCCAGTCACTGTGCTAGGCGCTAGATACAGAACAAGAAACGTACTTTAGTAGGACAACCACATAAAATTACTCCCTAGAGTCTAAAATCAAGACCCTGCTTTAGCCAATAGTAAGCTTTGGGAAGACAAAATATAGGGGAACTAGTTGATTTCATTGTTCTTTGAAATTGCTAACTGGAAATTATCTCGGTTTTAGGCTCTAAAACAGAGAGAAGCAATCCTGAAACTGATCTTGAAAAATGAAAATGTAAGTAGAAAATTACATTTTTCCCCCATCCAGTAAATATGTTTGGTTATAAATATTTTTTGAGAAAAATGTAGAAGAAGCCTGAGAGTGATATGGCTTCGAACTTCCCCTAAATTACTATAAAAACTCTTGACTGTTCAAGTAATTCAGTAACGGTGGTATATTGGTATATTTAAATTGGTTAGAGTAAGCTTTAGGTTTTAAAAAGTCATGTGTTTTGTATCTACAGATTAAAATCCTCTTTGATAGTTTTCAAACTGTTCTTAGTTATATGAAAAGACATATTCCCCCACCCCCACCCCACATACTCTGAAACTAAACTCCCTCTGCCTGTATAGCCCCTTCCAGTTTAGTGAAAGACGTAGTTTTATATAGTAGTGTATTTGTTTTGGAGTCCTGGTGTGGCGCCGTAGGATAAAGAACTAAACAAGATCGATTTGAACTGTGAGGTCTGTGGTTCAAACTTAATCAGCTGCTTCTGGGAAACCCTATACAGGTCACGCTGATGCAGAATTGAGTCAACAGCACTTAACAACATTTATTTTGTTATTGTTTTTTAAGCTAATTGAAACATTTTTCACGTTGGAATTTAGATGTAAGGTATGACAACCAAAATCTAATAGCTTTGTTTAGAGTTTTAAAATAGGTAAGATAGTCACATGGTTCAAAAATTAAAGTATATTGGGGAAAATCTTTTTATCTTTTCTGACTGGTGGTGTGCCTATCCAAACTAAATAGAATATCCTATATTATTCCTTTCCCCCCTTTTTTACATAACGTATATTGATAAGGTAATACACTGGACCGCAAGGTCAACGGTTCAAGTCTACCAACTGCTTCTTGGAACCAACTTGATGGCCCTTAACAACAACAAATATATTCCTTTCCCCTCTGTTTCATATAATGTATATTAATAAACCACTTGTTCTGTGTTCAGGATCTTTTCATGTTAGCTTTTAGTTTTCTTACCCTTAAAAAATTTGTTTTAATGGCACAGATTCCATTGTATGGCTGTATTAAAGAAGTCTTGGGGTGACACTGTAGGACAAGTACTAAACTGCAAACCCACCAGCCACTCCTCAGAAACCCTGTACAGGGTCGCTGTTGTTAAACTGACTACTGTACTTAACAACAACAGTGTATCAAAGGACATTGAGTTTGATTCTAGTCTTTTCTCTATTATGAAAAATGCTGCCTTGAATAACCTTGTACATACGTCATTCCACATATGTGTATGTATGTGGGATGAATTTTCTGGAAGAGGAATTCCGAGGTCAAAGGATATGCTATTTATAGCATTGGTGCCTATTAGTAAGTTATACATGTCAGTTTATTCTTCTATCATCAATATTAGAGTGTTTCTCTTCTTACAGTTTTGCCAGCAAAATGTTAACAGGACTTTTTGCCAGCATGATAGCTAGAAAATGATAGCTCATTATTTTGTTTTGTATCCTCTAGGTATGAAATAAACGTTACATGTGTTGTAAAAGCCACTTGAATTTTTTTTTTTCTTTCTGGAAAATACCTATTCATGTTATTTGCCCATTTTTCTATCAAAAGTTGTTCTTTTTCTTACAGAATTACAGGAACTGTAATCATATTAGGGATATTTGCCCTTAGTCTGTCATATGATTTAAAGCCTTTTTTTTTCAGTTTGTCCTTTGAGTTTGCTTTTTTTCTCCCTTTTATGACTGCTAGGGTTTGTATCTAAATTTAAAAGGCCTATTTTACTCCATAATGTTAAAGAATTTTCTGTATTTCCCAAAACTCTTGCTCCTTGCCTGTCCAAAATTGAGTAATCAAATGTATTTGAGTAAAATGATATTCCTCACTGCCCCAAACTTGTTATCTAAACGCACTGTGGGAACATGGTGTCTAAAGTCAGAAATTAAATAGACCCCAGGGAGAGGAGGATCATTGCATTTTTGTGTCTTCCTTCCTTCTTGAACCACTGTTAATCTCATGGCTACTTCTGCTCTTTCTATACTCTATCAACAACCTCCTTTCCTGTCTTCCCATCATATTTCATCTGTAATTTTGTAGTTGTATGATCTGTTAAAAAAAACAAAACCTGTCACCTATTTTTAGCATCCAAGCTCCTTGGAAACCCACACGGGGCTGCTGTAAGTAGAATCCAACTCCATAGCACTTAACAACAGAACCATAATTATATCTAATAAAAAGTTAGCAGTAATTTATTACTTTCATTTACTATCCAATCAGGGTTTTCTAAAATGTATTTTATTAAGCCATTTATGTTGTTGTTGCTCTTTTAGTTATATAATGATGAAACCAGGTTTGGTTTGTACAGATTTTTCTCCAATCTGAATTTTACTGATTTACCTTTAAAATTATAATAGGAACAAGAGACTATGTCAGATTCAGGTTTACGTTGACGGGAGGGAAAACAGAACTACTTCTTAGTTAAAATTAAATTCTCAATTAATATTTGTAAGTCCTCTGTTTTATGTTTAAGTCTTTAATATATATGATACATGTTTGATGAATCTAGATACATGATATTCTATATGAATCCAGCTTTACTTTTGTTTTTCCATATAGATACTCAATTGTTCTAACACCATTTATTGATTACGTCATTTCCCCTCACTACTTAGAGATGCCACTTATATCATACAGATAGTTCCACACTTAGACATGTCACCTATATCATACAGATAGTTCTACACTTAGAGATGCCACCTATATCGTACAGATAGCTCCACACTTAAGATACCACCTATATCATACAGATAGTTCCACACTTAGACATGCCACCTATATCATACAGATAACTCCACACTTAAGATGCCACCTATATCATACAGATAGCTCCACACTTAGACATGCCAC